TCTGAAGTAATCACGTTCTTGTAGTTTCTGTATTTTGGGGAAGATCTTGAAAGTATTGAAGTCATCAATGCTTTCTATGTCACATAAACAATCATCTAGGACTCCTGTGAGCTGTTGAAACAATACACAAAAATGTTTTAATATAGAAATAGAATATTAACTACAGGAAAACCCTCTAAAGAGAAAAAATATGGCAGTTGAAAGAAATACTAGTGAAATGTAGTTCCATGGCAAATATTTTATTTCTTATCATTAAAATGCTCAATAACATACCTTACACACTCAGAAAAAAAGACCTTAACACTTTTTTGAGCTTAAGTCCATCTCCAAATGCAATGCTCAATCAATGTTAGCCAGATTAATAACTGCAGCCCCGAAACTTGTTGACAGTTTCTGTACTTTCTGTAGAATGAGCAACGAGACTTTCCAAACTATGAACACGTGGTATATTAGCAGAGTTACATACCAAGTATTCTACAAAATGCTCATGAGTTGAATTGCCTAAAAAAACCCCTACAGTCACACACTGTCATTTTTATACTTCTCAAAGTGTAAGAACACCTCATCTAGTTTCTTTAGAGGCATGGGGAAAAGGGGTATAGGTACTTCTGTGCACAAGAAATTTGTAACTTCATAGTTAAATTCTACAAACGAATCCTAGGAAAACCAGGTGCAGGGATCTATACCGTAATGCTGTAAATCTATTGTGAAACTTAGTCTGAACTTCCCAGGTCTCATCCCTCTTCTTGTGCCAGGACAGCAAGCTGGTTCAAGGTACTGCACTAGGTTAAGACCAACTCTATGAAAGGCAGCGCACTAAAGTGTAGAAGTGCTACTGCCAACACACAAGGGCAAGGCAGAACTGTGTATGTAGCAAAGGACAGGCCCAACTAACTTTGAAGACTAGGCTACAGCAGCACTTTTGCCAAGACCCTGAGAGTGTCTTACTGAAAGATGGAAACACTGAAAGTGTGATTCTATGAACACTTGTATGATAAATTTCAATAAATCTAAACTAACTGCTCCCAAGCACAGTTTCTTAAACTGCTACATACGTGTTTCAAAGGCCTTTCAAACATGAGTTTAAAGGCTTTAGACCACTTCTAATGAAATTAAACCAAACACTGCTGTTTACTGCCACTATTCTTCAGCCAGGCAGGAAATTCACTGACATCTATGATGGCCTAGAAAGCATTTAATATAGGAACGCCCACACATCTTATATCTTGCATGGGATTAGAAGAACTTTTGACTATTAAAAGGTTATGTGTAAAAGGAGACAAATATTTTGTAGCTTATTTTTTCCTCCACAGATTTCACATAGATGAGATTATGAAATCATCTAATCTGTTTTATGCATGATAAATCGCTCCAGTACTTTACAGAACAGATACCCTTATATAATCAAGCTTGATGTAAAGGAGCCACTAGAAACCGAACTGTAGGCTTCTGCTCTTTTATGAAGCCTAAAGGAGGCCTGGAAAATGGATTTCCCCTAACCCTCTGCGAGAATAAAGAGGCGAGGGTATGGCAATAAAACACATAAGTGGAAAATTCACCTTATGTAGATCCTACTTTTCCTGAGGCGCTAAATAGGCTGTCACAATTCTGTAGAGTGATATGGCAATGAAGTAAAACTAATTTAAGGAAAGTTACTTTACCCAAAAGTTTCCATGCTGTTATGCTTGCCTTGTTAGTGTTATCTAACTTCAAACCTGGGCAAACAACTATGAAAGAGCCAATGTGCAATTACAGGTTTTTCACAAAGCCAAGAATGCTCACAGCCCACATGACTGCCAACTTCAAAGTCAGGAGACAAAACATGTTATCATTGATACTCGCAGAAATAAACCCCCCATGTATTTTAATCTATTCATTAAAAATTTCACATTTTCTTATTGATCGCACACAGGCAGAAACCTGTAAAGCTATGGCCTTTACATGTAACACCAAACCACAAAACAAACAGCAGAACATTTCATTACAATATATAAAGGCAAAAAGATAATTCTCAACATTTTGCTCAAATAATACTAAACTGCATAGACAGGATGATACGAGAAATTTTCTTTGGACTCAGAAGATAAAGAGTAGGAAACTATTTTGACAACCAGCTCATGACCAGCTTACAAAAATAATTTTACCATCTATGCAAAACAGAAAATGCTTTTTCAGGAGGAAAACGTCCCAGATAAACATGTAGTAGTTACACTCAGTGTCAAATACCCATGGAAAAAATAAAAAGCTGCAGCCTCTTTATTCAACTAAGATCTCAATCCAAACAATGTCTCTAAAAATGTGGTACAGTTTACTTAGATCAATGAAGTTTAAGAAAGGAACCCTCCCCAAAGACCAGAACCGGTCTAAGAAATTACGAAGAGAAAAATTAATTCAGAATAACAAGTGCAAGCAAACTAAATTTTCCATTTTTTTTCCTCACAACGTTTTCAGAACTGGAACAGCTAGCTCCTTGTATATATAAAATAGCAAAATCAATGTTTCCTTGAAAAGCATACTCTAAAATTAAACTATGCTATATCTGTACCAAACCACAATTTATTAAATAGTTTCACAGCACATATGAAGCACCAATACTGCACAGCAGTAGAATCAGTTCATAGTACAGTAATACAACAGCAACACAGCCTTCAAGTACTCCAGTCAGAGGGTTTCTTTATTAGTCCAGGTATTGTCTCCAGTGCTCTCACTCGTGTGAGATGGAACACTCTAAGAACACGCAGAAAATTGTTTTGTTTTTGTCAACACCTGGATCTTCCAGTGAATTTTTTTTTCCAGCTGGAGACATCAAAATAAGAACAGTGTACTACACAGTTAAAATCATATATTGCAAGACCTACTTTGTTATTCACACAATTGGTATGTTGCCTTTTTTAAATTGAACTGCACTAGTTAACTTAGTCCACAAACATAGACCCAATTGTACTGTGAGCTATCACAACTTTTATTACAATGGACAATTACCAAGATTTCTTTTCATCTTTTAATTACTTTGAACTCTACTATAAATTCTAAAATAATTAACCTGCTATAAATTGTATACAAGAAGTCACCTGACATTGAGTAGCTACTGGTTTGGGTTTTCTTTACATTTCCAATATGCTTATCAAAGTATTTCCAGATATTGTCAAACCTAGTTTAGTTCTTGAACAAGTACCAGAGCTATACTGGAGACATAAAACTTATTCTCTCCAAGATAAATCAACCTTTCAGAAGAAAAAGTCAATGTCCAACCCACATCAATTTCTCCCTATGAAATCTGGAAAGAGAAATGCATTCAGCACTTCAACATTAAGGAAAACCTGAATAAATTCATATATTAAGAAGCAGTCTATTCACACAAACAACCGTATTACTGTTAACAGGTTGTTGTCCTTTAATTGCTTCAACAATTAGAAGACCACCTGGGACATCTTGTTTTGTTTCTTAAATGTTTTACTTGCCATAGCTGCAGAATGTGAGAAAAGCTTTAGGTAAGGTGACTTCGAGAACTAATGGCTAGCTTATCTTTTTCCTGTGCAAGTCAAACTTCCAATACAATATGCTAACAATTTTATGAAGTAGCAACAACTCATCTCTCTGCCAAACATCACAAGAAAACCGCGCCAGTTTATGAATGGCTTCTTTGAGAATTCCAATTCCTTAACATTTAGTCACACTAAAATAGCTACTAAAGTAATGAGTTTTTAAACCTGAAACAACCTCAACTTACAACAAAAAAAGGCAATTCAGAGGACAAACTTTGTTCCACGTGGACGTTGTATTCCTCTATAAACTCACTCTGATGTCTTTGGCCAAGCTAAAAGTCTTTCTCACTTGACACCAGCTTTTCATTTCAGTCACAGTCACACAGCTGATAAATAGCAAACTCCCAACTACAGACGCTTGCCCTCCTGAAGCTGTGAAGGCAGCTTACAGAAAGAAGGAGCGTTCTCATTCTTCTCTGCAATGTGGGCAGACAGACACGACCTAAGCACAAGCCAAGTCCGGGCACTGGCATCACCATTCAAACATATGGTTTCTCATGGACTTCATCAGGACACCCAAGTTTCTGCCTGAAGTCAACGGCACGATCCCACCTAGAGCTCCTCGGCACAACATCCCACTGACTGGTGCTTTCTGTGCTTCCCAGGTCAACCGACTTCTCCCCGGAGACAGGAGGCACCGGCCCCAGGTTGGATGCCGGCCGCAGGGGATGGAAAGGGAAGGACGTGGGCTACAGACTTCAGCGAGAGATACCCGACTTCTCCACGGGGAGGCTGCACAAGACACGGCCCGGAGCTACCCCCACGACCCCCCAAAGTGACCTCATCTCCAGCCTGTGCTCTCCTGCCCCCCAAGGGGGTCCGCAGCGCTGCCTACGGCCAGCGAGCACCCCTGCCCGGCCACGCTCTCCCCGCGCTCCTTCCCGTCCCGCCCGCCGCCGGTCCCCACCTGGGCCTCCGCTGTCAGGACGCAGCCGAGCAGCGCCAGCAGCCGCACCGCCAGCCGTGCCCCCGCCGCCGCACTCCGCCTGGCGCCGCCGCCGCCGCCGCTCATGCTGCTGCCGCCGCGGCTGCCGGAGGAGGGGGCAACCCCCGCCCCGCCGCCGCCGGCACAGGAAGGAGAGGGACGCGGGGCGGGTCGGCGGCGGTGGCAGCAGCGTCTCCTCCTGCCGGCGCGGCCGCTCCTGCGGGCGGCGGGACCCGTCGGGCGGGGGCGCCGCGCTCACCGCGACCCGCCCGGGCTCCTCTCGCGCAGCACCGGCACCGCCGCCCGCTGCCCCCCGCGCCCGCCGCTCCCCCGGCCGCGCCGCGCGGCATCCCGGGAGCTGTAGTTCCGATCCCGGGCCGGGGCGGGGCGGGACACGGCGCGCGGCGGCGGTGTCGCCCAATCGGAGAGGACCACGCGCGCCTCCAAAACAAACGGCGGCGGCGCGCGGGCGGCGGTGACTGAGCGCGTGCGCGCGGTGGCGGGAAGGGCCGCGTGAGGGGAGGCACGAGCTGGGCAGTGGAGGCGGTCTGTGGAAACCAATTTGTCCCAGTGAATTCCAGTGCATCCCGCTATTTCCCAGTTCATTCTAGTCTAACCCAGTATAAACTGAGTCCAGTATAACGGAGTCCAGACCAGTATTAACCATTTTGGCCCGGTATCATAAAATCACAAAGTATGCTGAGTGGGAAGGGTCATTGGAGTCCAACTCCTGGCCCTGCACAGGAGAGTCCCAAGTGTCGCATCATGTGTCTGAGAGCATTGTCCAAATGGTTCTTGAACTCTGTCAGGCTGTGATCACTTCCCTGGGGCGCCTGTTCCAGTGCCCAGCCATCCTCTGGGTGAAAAAACTTTTCTTGATATCTAACCTAAACCTCCCCCAACTCAGCCTTGAGTCCTGTCACTGGTCACCAGAGTGATCAGTACCTGCCCCTTGGTTTCCCCTCGTGAGGGTGTTGAAGACCGCAATGAGGTCCCCCCTCAGTCTCCTCCAGGCTGAAAAAACTAAGTATAACCTAGTCAATCCCCCTAAACCCAGTTAGTCACAATCTAAACCTGGTCAAACCCAGAACAACCCAGTCCAGACCTGTACAAGCCAGTTTGGCCCAGTGTATCCCAGTCCATCCCAGTGTAACGCAGCAGTGCTGTGCTGTCCCAGCACTACAGGGGTGAGTTGAGCAAGGCTGCAGCTCCCCCGCCCCACTGTTGGGTTTATGGCATTAGTGGTGCCCACATCCAGCCTTTGGCTGGGTGTCCAATAGAGACTCAAACCACTTCCAGAGGCTTCCCACCTCCCTGATGCTGGCAAGTGCCCTTGAGGTGGCTGTGTTGGGCGCTCAAAGGCTTTTTTTCTTTTATGTTAAACTGCCTGTTTTCCTCGGCAGGGCTGCATTAATGAGAAGCTATTTATATGGAGATGGGCACACCTAATTATTTTTTTTTAGAAGCATGAAGCAAGATAGGGAATAAAGCTTTGCTTTGTCTGGTTCTCTCACCTGTTCCCTTTGAGAGCAAGGCTGGAAACTAATGAAGAAGCTCCAGAGTCCCTCCACTGTTTTGGTTTTTTGTTTGTTTGTTTGTTTTCTGTTTTGTTTTGTTTGTTTGGCACCCTCTACCCCCCACGCTATTTTATTTTTTTTTTCCAGTGGAGGCACAGCCTCCTGTGTAGCAAATTGAAGCCTACCAGAGAAGAAGAAGATGCTTTCAGGCATTGTTTCAGTAGAGCTAACATAATGAAATACTGAGTTGTTTGGAAAGAGGCACTGCTGTTTCCCTCTCTTTCCTTATCCCATGTGTCTGAGCTAGCAGTCCTGAAGTTGTATGTTGAATCCATTCAGCTACTTAAGCAAACGTTTGGGGTTTTTCCCTGCTTGGGATAATTTTCTGCCAGAACAGCCAACTAAACTGACTCACTGTATGTCTACTTCATTGCTCAACCTGATTCAGGGGAAAAGGCCAGAGTACTTATCCCAGTAGGAAGAAGATAAGGTAGGACCCTCCCTTGCAGTGGCTACTTGCTGTTAAGTCACTTCAGCTCCATCTGATTTTATTTTATGAAATAATAGTTTTTTACTGACCCCATAGGGAGACTGTATGACACTTGAGAGGTTGAAAGTTCCAGTATGACATCAATTGAATTTGTCTACCTGTGCTTCACCAATAGCTATTGGATCTGATCTAAGACTTACTGTGGCTTCTTTCCAGTTCCTTTCAAAATATTTTTTTTTAAAGCCCAAACAGATCAGAACCAATCTGTTGCTCCTGATAGTTCAAAGTTTATATGTAAATTACTTCCAGAATTGCAAAAAGTGATATTCCTGTGAAAAACATGAGTGTTGCACTGAGGTAATGTGCAGGGTTGCTGGAATTAGGATTTTGTTTTCAGTTCAGATGCCAACTCAGGCTCTTCTTACACCCTTTCAGTTAGAGAATACTGCTATACTGGAATATGGAGATGAGCTTTAAGCTTTAAGGCTGGAGTAACTATATCAGAGAGCTGAAAAGTTTTTAGATTGACCATTTTTATTTACTTATAAATTAATTCAGATTAATTTTGCATTATATTTGTCCTTAAGTGCCAGTATGTCACAGATTTTTGTATTGCTGAAAATGGCTTGAAGAAATGGTGTCTAGGAATTCCAGAGACCATGAAATAAAGTAGGCAGTAGTTTGATTCTCTGGTTCCAGAGAGATGATGTAATTGCTCCTTTCTTTCCTCTCTGGAGTACAGACAGCACGCCTATCATTTGGAAATGACTAAATGAGAACCTATTCCTACTTTCAGCATCAGTGGACCAATAAATTTGCTAGATATTTGAGAAGAAATGTCAGAACAGCTGATATTAATGTTTACATTGCCATAGTTTGCTCTCAATATCTGTACTCCATACTTTATCGCAAGTGGCTTATTCTTCTCACAAAGGAACTGTTTCTGTTCAGCAGATTAAGGTGAATGCATTGTATTAGTTTACATTTTGTGCCTTTGATTCTGGAACAAAGTTTCTATGATGAGAATTTTAAAAAAGCCCCAAAACATTGGAAGAATCAAGCACATGCACTGTCTCACACTTGGTCTGCATAAAGGACTATACAAGTTAGATATAAACTACCATATTTTTTAAGTCATACTGTTCACTTTGTTGTCAGTTCAGAACACTTTATGTTAATTATAGAAGGTACTTTATTTCTTCACCTCTGAAGTGCTTGTATTAGAAGTCAGTAGTGGTTTAGTTTTTTACTGCCATATTAGAAGGATAAGGAACTCACTGTAAAAATGTATAATGACTTATTTTAAGAGGACAAAAAATTATTTCTTGTTTACATAAGTATTAACTGCTATACCAGAACTGAATGTAGCTGAACACAGTTTTCTTAACTCTAGGGTATTTTCAATCTTATTTTATGTTTTAGTGTTGATTTAAACCTATGAATGCTACTTTGGTAGTGGTATAAAAATGTGTAAAAAACCACCCCAAAAATAAAAAGCCTAATATAAGATTTCTTTGTGAAATCAGTTTCAGGAAATAGAAGAAACAGTCTTTGAATTGCAGTCAAAAGCTAATAGCATATTACAAAGCTCTAAGTATCTACTTAGCGTCTTTCTTTTAAAGAAATTTGCCATGATGTTATGATATTTTAGCAGGGGCTGAGAACAAACCTTTACTGGGGAGAGAGATAATCATAGTTTACAGATTACTGGGGTCATGAAGAGTATGGCCTATATATTTAATTTTTTAATGTGGTTGGCATAAGAATGAATATCTCCTCTGATTTCATAATATGCATTGCTGTTAAAAATGTTGACAGTTAGTTCTATTTGCAAGCTCTTTCTACGTGCAAGCAAAGAAAGCCTTGAACACGGGAACTAAAAACTTTATTCTGTATTCACAAATAAGAATTAAATAATGCACATCAGAGTCATCTCTTCCTCATCACAACATTGTTCTCTTGAGTGGGCAGAGATCTGAGTGCACCAGAGAGTGACAGACAGTCTTTTAGAGGATGTAGCAAATCTGTAATTACCAAACTTGCCTCTGGCCTGCAGAGAGGACACAGTGGGACTTAAAACTGATCAAGTCTTGCTACTATCAGCTCCACTGGTGCTTTTTAGCCAGGTCTTATTTGCCAGAATAAAGTTTATGCACTCTGGTTGTGGATAGAAATGATAACCTACAGTCATCAACTATGTGAAAACGGATATTAGAGATTATTATGGACTAATTTAAGTGAACATACAAGGCAAAAGAGGATGGTGTCACATTTCATGTTAGGAGAAGCTTGGTAAATCCCAGCTGCTTTTCAAGTTCATGAACTAGACTTCAGTAATATGAAACGTGTTTTTTTCTTTTGAATTTTTTTGCCCTTGAAACTTTTGCCTTTATTTATTTTTCCAAATTAGCATTTGAGTGAGTCCTTCCTAAACTTACGAGAGTAAACCAGAAGAATCAATATGTCACAAACTTCTGTTTAAGTGTGGCAAACAGCAGCGGTGGGAGGGCAGTGCCTGTTGAGCAATGGAACATCTTGTGGTAGTCTAGATTTAATGATACAGCAAGGCACAGCTGTGGGTAAGAACTTTCGGTAAGCCACCTGATGTAAGTACAGAAAGCAGACAAGTAGCAGGGCACTTGAGTTTGGTGGTCTGTCAGGCCTTCTACAACTGAAAAACTTGTACAGCCTCACCCCTGTTCTGTCCCGCTGTCATTAGGCCCTTGCAAATCATGCTTCACTGACGTCCTGCTCCCAGCTACTCATGTCTGCCTTAAAACCACAATATATATTCAAGTCTGAGGCAACTGGTACAAATAACTTTTGAGAAGTACCCATGGATGTCTAGGGTTATGGCAGGAGTGTGGCCTGTAAATGGTAAAATAATACATCAAATACAGTATGGTGGAAAAAAAGGTAAATTTTTAATAAGAAAATTGCATACAGCAATATCTTCACAGTGACTATGAGGAAAAGGACAAGAAAGGTAGAATGCAGTAAAAAATAAAGAGCAAACTACAAAAAGGGAGTACATTTTTTTAGGAAGTTTTTGTAGGTGGTGAAAACTAACTACAAATCTTAGCTATAAACCTGTATTGTCATTTCCATGTTTCATGTGTGTGTGTGTTAGAGTTGGATGCTAACAAACTGCATTGTGTAATGTATAATAGCACGATCTGAATGAAGAGTAGAAGTAATGTATGAAGTCTTAGTGTCATTCCTGTACCTATAATTTTTTAAGAAGGAATGCTAACAAAGAAATAAGTCTACTAGCTCTGTCAAACTTCTGAATATAGTGGTAGCAGATGAACATACCTAATCTTGTTTAAAAAAAACCCTAAGATTTGTGCACTTGCACTTTCTGTACATGTGCTTATCTGTCAACAAATCTGACCATGAGGTATAGATCTCAGCTAAATTGTAGACTGATGGAAACAAGCAGCCAGGCAGGGGCACTGTGCTAGAGTCCCTGCAGAGAGATAAGCCGCAGCCTGAAATCGATCGTATTAGGCTCAGTTTCAAAACGTCAATCCAGAGAAAGCAAGGTTTTACTCTTTCTGTGGCGTCTGTTTGACTTGGACACAGCACAGCTCCTGGAGTGGTGGGAACATTCCCATATCGTGCAGTCCTGTCAGGCAAACAAATTATCCACAGGCTTACATAAGATGGTCTAGGTGTGCGTCATTTCTTATATTTTCTCCATATAATGCTGCTTCTGTCAAATAAATGTCAAAATCGTGACATTCCTGTAAAAGAACTGTAAGAGAACAGACCAATATAATTATTGGCAAAGAAAGTAACTTTAACTTTTTAGCTGCTGGTTTATTATTCCTACTCCAAAGCAGTCTCAAAATTTTCAAGAACTGTTCTAGCAACTCTCTGAAGATGCTGACACTGAAGGCTATCTCTAGGACACCTGGGAGAGAAAATGCAGGGAGGTTTTTCCCAAATCTACTGAAATACATCAAGGGTGAGGAGTTTATGCTGACATAGAAGTATTTTACTCAGTATGAACTTCCTTAAATGAAGATATTTGAAACGTAGAAAGTAAACAGATGAGAATGAATAAACCAGGTTGCCATGCAGTTCTGGCAGACTCGCGGTTACTGTGTCTATTGGCAACCCCTGTCACGGGTGATGGGAAGGTTACTGTTCCACTGAGTTATAGTGGCATTTGTGATCTGGAGTAAAAAGCTCTTTATTTCCATGGGGAAGAGCCACAGAGGATCAGCTGGGAAAAAAGTTTTGGGTTTTTGGTTTGTTTGTGGTGGTTTGTGGTTGGGTTTTTTTATTTTGTTGGGGTTTTTTTGTTTTGTTTCGTTTTTTGGTTGGTTTGGTTTTTTGGGGTGGAGGGAGATAGCAATAATATTTTTCAGGAGAGGAATATATTGTCCATGGTTTTGTCTGCAGTCTTGTGCTCAGAAGGTGGGAAACCCCTTGAGACTGTGCATTAATTGCTATTTCAAACAATAAACTATCCAGCTATATATTACCAGATAGTTTGGAGATCTTTGAGAAAAGCCTCTGTCCTCATCAAAGATGGCTAGGTTTTTTTTGATGGGGCCAGGAAAGGAGTGAGAAGAGATCTGTGTAAACTTGATTTGTAAAAACTATTTGAAATAATTAATTCTGTACTTGGCTGAAAATTTACAAAATCCTGAACTCTTCTCATTATGATTAGTTATGCTGAGTTTAGTACCTTACAGGGTTACAGCCAGGTAAGAGATAGATTGTAATTAGCTATAGAAATTTGATGAGAAAGTTAATTCAGCATTTTAGAGAATGCTGTTGCCTAAAGTTATCTTATTCTGGACTCAGCTTTTATGATACAGTTGTATTTAGTTTTGCCAAAATAATTCTCGGCTTTCTGGACTGGTCAGTTAGCTAAACGACACTTATTAATAACACTTATTAAAGAGTGATACAAGAACAGGCATTAAACAGCCAAAATAATCTGTACTGTTGACAGTGCTCTATTTATAAGTAATTGCAGGCTCCTC